GTTGACCAAATTTGTGTTTTAGTTTTTTAAACATATGTACCATATGCTATTTAACCAGCATAGCTGGTCATATATTTACTTAAAAAAATTGTAACAAACCTCACTCACCAATCATTTTGGCATCTGCCCTCTCTGACCCAGGCACATAGTTCTGTGGGATACCCAAGTGGAACACTTCCTGATACACGCTGCCACTGTCTGGAACATTGAAAACTGATTCCTCAGTGCTTACCAACCTCTTATAGTTGAGATTGTCAGTGCAGATAACTAAATAAAAGTTAGTTTTGATTAAGCAGAAAACATTTTACTATGTGTAACGGCAAGAGATTATTCTTTTTATGTACCTTTCTTTTTCCAAACCCTGAATTCTCCTCTAGATCCACGGTCTGTAGAAAACCCAATATATTTAGCTACAGGAGTGGTCTGCAGCTGGTATTCCATTATAATACTGCCATTTTGGGATTTCTCACCCTTTCCAACCTATAATTTATTAAAGAAAATACATGTTTTCTCAACTGTAACATTAGAAATATAAAAATTATTTCGAATCATATGCTTGGTGCATTTTGTGAAGATACACGTATTAAAACTGGTACTCTTATTTCAAAATTACCTGAAAAAATATTACACAACTATAGCCTAGTGACTGCACAACATGTAATCTTGCATTTACCATCACGACTGATTCTGAAACCTATAACAATAACCAACTTGTAGTCATCTTTTGGTGCCTCAAAGCCAGTTACCAAATTTACCTGCACAAGACCATCTGTCCAACTTATCCAGAAGGATGAAAAAACGTCTGCTGAAATTATCTTCCTTGTAGAAACAGTAACATACTTTGCTCCTGTAAAGAATAAAATTACACATTTTACAATAAGAAATACGGGATAATGAGGATAAAACATGACAGGCAAAAAATATATTAGGCAGTGTAAACTAAAAGAATTACAAGATTTTTTTTAATTCACAAAGACAGGAAAAAGTATTCTCAAAGCTAAAGCATATTGTAACACAAGTCAACGTACATATCAGAGAATAAATTCACAAACTAATAACATCAGATGTTGTTTTAACTCGTTTCACCACCTTGTTTTCCCTCAGCTATCCAAGACAGAGTATTTTCTTTTCCCCCAAGCACTATCTCCAGCAACTGTTTATTGTCAGCTGGTATGGCTGACAAGGCAATGTGGGCACTGTGCCTTGCCTTGACAGAAAAACTAAATGTGGTGAGGAAATCTGGCTTTTTCAAATACTGGAAATGGAATTTGTCAGGGGTGGATATGTGTATCCTTTCTAAAAGAAAATGTAAAATTAAGTGAAAAAAATTTTAAGGTGCCATAACATCTCAATGGGTCAAGAGAGTATGTATTAAAAGTTTTGTAAGTTTTTTGAAATGATCTAGTATTATTTACAATATAGTCTTGAAGATGAGAAACCTAAAAATTGTAAAAGCTTTTGTTGTATTGACATTGTCAAATGAAAGCTGTCCCTGCCTCCCTTTTCTCAGTCACAGAATACAAAGCAACAATCAAAGTTATTTAAACACCGATCTCACCATTTGGGCAGAAAAATACAGTGTGTGTGTAAAACTTTGGCACACCCTCTGGTTCACAGAGTACATGTCTTGCCACATAATCTGATGCCAAAAGTGACCTTTCCCCACTAGAAGGCTTTCCTGCACAGCAACCAGTATCAGCATATGCCTCAGCATGGACTGAAATTTCAATGATAACCAAATCATTCACTAACCCAATATTCCATGCATAATATTATACGTAAAATATTTGAAATTGCAATATTGATATAAAGTAATAAGTTATAACCTACCTGTTAAATTAAGATACCCTAGCTTATTGACTTGCATGACAGTGGGAATAGTCTTGATTTCGCCACTGCCAATACAAGTAGACAGTGAATGTGTGTGGTGCTTGGTGGCCACAAACTTTATCCCTCCTGGTCCTTTTAGTTTAAGATAAATCTGGAAATAAAACAATAAATTTTTAACCAATTTTGCTGCACTTTTATGCAGTAAATTAAAACCAACATTACAGAAAAAGTATGTAGTATATGTATATAATCCCCAAAAGTCTTAGCGTACCCCACCTCTAAAACCTAACCTTTCTAGTTACCCCTCAGACCATGACTGTTAGACTTTTTCAAAAAGTTTAAAAACATCTTTATAAAAGTACTCAACTAAATTTTTACCTGAGCACAAGAATCCTGATAATTGTAAACAGTCAAAGGCAAAGTTACTTGCTCTCCTCTAATCACCGAGTAAGGTAAGGAAAAGTCCACAAAGAAAGATTTAAATGTCTTAAGTTGTGCTGAATCAGCCACAGCAAGCCCATATTTCTGAGAAATAGATATGGCTTCAATGTTCCATGTTGTCACACTGTCTGGTGCTCTAACTCTTAATGTTTCCGTGTGCTTTGAAGAGCTGAAAGAGTGCACAAATGTTCAAATAAGCCAAATAATAATGTTTGTTGGAGCTCTTATTACAATACTGAGCTATATTATATGGTACAATACTAGAAAAGTTCAGAACTGAATGTCAGTAAAGAGTTCATAGCAAAAAATACTAAAATGTATTAACATGTTGGCATTGATTTGGACAGTTCAAATGCATTGTTAAATGTGAGCATCTATAATTATCAAAAGCTTTTGCTCTCTGCATGTTAATCCCTGTCATCTTAATAACTATATTCATGTTTAATATTTAACCTGGTATTGAAGCAACTCCAAATCCAGGTTTCTGGAAAATAAGTTCTTTTCCTGTGTAAGACCCTACGGTTGTTTCGGAAGGAACTTGTGAGGGCAGCAACTGAGAAAGTACCTGAAAAGGAAAGAAAATTTACTCTCACATCAAAGATTTCATGTGTAATTTTTCAACCACCACAATATTTAGGCTTTTTTTTTAAAGTCTACTTGGTTATACATTTTTTAATTCCATATATTAATCCATGAGATTGAGACCATACCTCCAAATGGACTTTGAAACAGAGGACCCTGAAAATCCCTTGGATCTTGTTTATGATTAAGTGAAACTTTGTCAGTCAAGATTATTAATCCAGCCTCCTACAAAATAGAAAAAATAAAATTACAGGTTTTATTTTCAAGTGCTCTGATTGAAAGCAATGGTCGCTGACACTATATTTTAAGACAACACTAATAATTTGATTTCAACACTGAAGAAAAAAATGAAAGTTAATCTAGACATATATCCACTGACTTACAAATAATAAGCTTTACCTTTAAAAAAAAACAATTTCTCTTCCCCTTTTTGTCACGTCTTTTGTCCCTGTTTGCTATCTTGTACAGCAAAAATTTGGTAAGTATCAATTATATTTTTAAGTATCACGTGATAAGTTAATCTCCAGTCAGAATAACTGTAAATATTCTAATAACTTACCTCAAATGCATACTTCGCATCACGAGATCTAAAGAATGTCCACCAGGGAAAGGTGGACCTTTTCTTACGCCGCCTGGAGATACCCCACCAATAGGTATCATCAGTTTGATCTGCTGTGACATCAAACTTTTTCAACTCCTCAAAGACCTTTAATGTCAAACAATTTTCTAAAGAAATGTCTGTAAATTCAAAGAATCAATTTATTTAATCATGGCATTTCAGAATAGTATTTCATTTCTGCTTAGTTTTGTGAATTTTACCTTTTTTCATGCAGATCACAACATAATGAATAATAATTAATAATTCCTTTGGGTCCAACGATAATTTCATCGAGACATTCATTGGTCAATTGTGGGTCTCGAGCTTTTCATTACCTTTGCAGTAGTAAGCTGGTATCCAGGCTTGAGTAAATAGACACTTCTGTCCACAGCAGCCAAGCACACACAGCTGGCAGGCTTGGTACTAACTCGAAGTCTGGTAACATCTCCTGGACCCACTTCAGTCTTGGGGAGTGCAAGCGATATCTGTTGTAAAAGATTGTTCATATACAACAAAAATGCCACATCATTTTGAGATTTGGGAGAATAATCTTATTATGTTTAAGATTTGCTAAGGAACAATGTGAGTGGCTATTCAATATCTTTGATTAAAAAAATCTTCATTTGAAGCAATCAATTTTATATTTCATATTGCTCTTTACTAAATTTGCATCAAACACTTCTGATATACTAGGCTGTCCATCAAACACATTTGAAAATTGTGGATCTTAAGAATTTTTAGAATTACCAAAAAAATGACAGAAACAAGATACTATAATGCAGCTCCATTGTACCTTATTTTCATACCCTGGCTGGACGTCAAATCTGACGGTGTCTGCCACTCCTTCACCAGTGTCCTTGACATAATAGACGAGCAGACGACCAAATGGAGCCATGGCTGCCGTGATGGGAAAGGTTAAGACCGCATGGCAGTTGGTGGATATAGGGGTTGGATCTGAAATGATAATGTCATTGAAAACTATCATATGGATTACAAAAATCTAAGCAAATCGAGCACCTATGTATCCAGAATAGATTAAGAACAATTTAAAATCTACCATTTGGCTTTGTTGGAAACCTAAAGAGTGACCCTTATGCTTTTTGAAATTAAAGAATAATTTTAAAATTACTGGACCAAAACACACACACACACACACACACACACACACCCTCCAAAAAAAAAAATTATTATTATTATTATTTAGTAAGATTGTGTGTGGTGGAAGTAGTTAGTCAACAAGTCAAGGAAAGAACATCCGAAGTGTCATACCTGGTGACTTTGACTGGAAGGTGACCAAAGTAACATTAGCTGCTTCTCTACTATGCCTAGAAAGTGGCCTTTTTACTTTGTGTTTTCCTGAGGTAACAATATTTCCTCTAGATAGAACTTCATAATACAGCATGAAGTTACACTGACAGGTGGACCAGATTTTAAATTTAGCAAGGTCTCCAATCTGAAATGATATTCATGATAAAAACACACCCTGTTTATTCAAAATTTTATAATTTTCAAGCAATAAAAATAGCTTTTATATTCAATAACAAAAAAAAAAAAGCACTTCGTGAAAATATATCTATAATTAAAAAAAAAAAAAGTTGCCTTTTAAACATTGAGGAAATTTACTTAAAATAAGTAAAATATAGTAATGAAATTCAAGCTGTATACCTTGTAAGAATCCTCCCTGCTCTCTACAAGCAAATGACACTTACTGGGAGAATACCAACTTGTAATAGACAAGTAAGAAGAAAAGTAGGAATCTCTGACATCTTTTCCATAAACCTTTATCACCTTTGCCTAGGAAAATAAACATTTGAGATTATAGACAAATGTGCATTTTAAAAGGGTCCTACTTGTAGAAATGTAGGAGAGTAAAAACAATTGAGAAAAAAATGACATCTATATTACCTGATAACACTTCATATGGTTAAAGCACTGTATTATACACCTGTTAAGATGTTTACACTAATGTCATTTTTTAGAATTTCAATTAGAAATTTAAAAAAAAATTGACATTTAAAGACTGTGTCTGGCACGCTAAATTTACCTAGGAGATGTTACTGGACTACACTTACATCTATCCATACTGATTGTGCCATGACAGGAAGAGGTGGAAACTCAAAGAAAACTTGTCCATTTTTACTGACAAGTTCTTGTTCAGAAAATCTATCACCATTAACGTCTGCTGCAACTTGCACAGTGATGTCATCTCCTGGAGAACCATCAGGTAAATATACCAAAACCTAAAATGAAAAAAAAAACAAACAAGAAAGTGCACGTTTAACAGCATAAGCAAAATGCTTAGAAAGTTTGCAGCGAAAAATTTTTCAGTAAGCAAAATTGTTGCTGCATATTTGCTGCTACTTTGCAAAAAGTATTCATATTTTTTCAAATTTAAAACATATCCTTGCAAATTTAAAACAGGACCTCATTTGCGTGGTAAAATTCCTTCTTGCAAATTTGTGCCAACAGTCTGCAAGAGTCCTAAAATTTTGCTACGGGATGTTTGATTGATTGATTGACTAATGACATGTAATTTATTAGTCAGTTAAAAGACAGGTGTCCCATATTTTAACAGCTTGAAATATATATATGTGTTTATCACTATCCCAACAAAGATACATAAAAACTTGAAAAAGTTTGTAATAAAAAAATATTATTTTCTTATTTACCTTTCCCCTATATGGCAATCCAGGTTTAAAGTGTTTGCGGGTGTCTTGAGAAAATTCTAAATCAACAAGTTGCTTATTGACTGCACATGATTCATCAATGGCCTCGGCAGTGTTTCCATCCAATGCAGTAACCACAGCCCTGATGCTGAGAACACCTCGAAAGTATGATCTAGAGTCATAAGGAAAAAGGTCACTGACACATACATTGAGTGCCACAACTCCACGGATCTGAAAAGTTGAAATTGCTGCTTATTAGAATTAAGTTAGTTTTAAAGAAAATGCTTATTTGGAATGAATGTGTAAAACCTTACAACAAAAATATAAAATACGAAACTCAATGTAGAATTTTTTCATCAAAAAAATCAAGATCTGGTGGTTTTAGATTTTTTAAGATAAAACTTACAAGCAGAAGTTGAATTCAGCAGTATTCCATGCCCAAGAAAATCATAAAAATACAAAAGGGTGTTCAACTGACCTAAATAGTATGTTTTACCAATAATATATGAATCCAGATGAATATCAGAGATATAATTCAATTTACCATAGAATTTGTCACAACTTTGAGTCCTTTGTAGTCTTCATAATACCCTGTTCCTTTGACAGTTACACTTGAAGAAATATTCCCAATAACTTCTTTACCATACAAATACCTAAACAAAAAGTAAAATCTTGGAATGTTTTAGGTGAATTGTATTGCAAATTCAATGGCAACTAAAAATAAACTCATATAAAGTATGGTGAAATTTTCAAATGTGCCAAATAAAATAAACAATTTACACATGAAAGTGCACAAAAATTTGCATGATTTTTAAGATCCATAACAGATGTTACTGTGACTTGGCACTCCATACCTTGCTCGTATTTTAATAGCATGACATTTGGTCCAGTCATCAACATAAGGTGGAGCCTCAATGATAACTTCAAATTTGGGTGCAACTGAAAATATGTCAGTAAAAATCATCATAATATGATGACTTTTTATTTTTTATTTATTTTATTTTTTTAATTTTAAAAAACGAATTTAACAATTATATCTTTACAAAGTAAAATAACTTCTAAATACATTTCTTTCTTTATAAAATTTGAAAAATTACCATATTTCTGGACTTCAAAGGTCCTGTTATATTTAACTCCTTGGACCTCAGCAAATATGGTCCACTTTCCCAGGGTTGGTTGGTCAGAGAGGGGAAATGATGTGTTCACAAGACCTTTAAAAAAATTGAGTAACTATCTATGTTAATCTTAAACAAGACTGAATCATATAGCCATAGGGGTTCAGGGGAGGGGAGGGGGGGGAGTGAATGAACTCCCCTTTTTTACCTGAAAAAAGTCAGCTCTGGGTAAAATTTGATCTACGTACATGAAGGTTTCATAGTAAAAGGTCCACTTTTTCTGAAATACAGCCCCCACCCCTTTGGAATCACTGACTACTGGCCTGTATATAACCATCCATGTATCAAAATTGGAAGCAAAGATTATTATGCATTCTCCTAGATATTCAGTTTTCACATTAACATTGGATTTTTCTTTGGTTAAAATAAATTTGTACATTTCAAAGATTTATTTCAGACAGGTGTCTAAGTTTTTTAGGCATACTACACTTTTCTGTTTGACAGATTTAGAATAATTTATGTGAATAGGCCAGACAAAATTGATAAGTTGGTTACTCTCTTTTGACAGGGTTGTAAGTTGCTTTTGTTTTCTAAAGATATGAAGTTTAATAGGCATGACAGCTAAATTTTAGGCTTGGGCAGTGTTAAACATTCATTTTCTCTTGCGGGATGTGAGAAATATGCAGTGTGATTTTTAATTATAAATGTGATAACATTAAGGTTTTTCCCTGTGCCAATTGTAATTTCTAACTATTACCAAACCAATGTCCAATGCATTATTTTCCATTAAAAATGTCTTATAGGTCTTAAAAAAATCTGAATTATTCAAAAAAAGGTGTTGCTCACACTTGTTAACCAATTTATCAGTTTTGTCTGGCCTGACTGAAAAAAAAAGGCAAAAGTGAATCACATGTACAATAGAGACTGTTTTAACCATTACACTTCTGCATTAGCCAATAAAATCTCATACTGCTACATGGGTGATGCTTGAAGCAGGCTATAATATTCAACTTACCACAACATAAAGGCTTTAAATCTGCCCATTGGATTATACGAGAACCCTTTGGCTCCTGAAGTCACATCAAAAACAAAACTTTCAGTGTTTACATCAATACCTTAGTGCTTAAGTATTTCAACATACTGTAGGTCAATACACCATAAACATATCTGTAAAAAGACAGCTATTCTAAAATAATGATTTTGAACTTTATTTATTTATTTATCATTTACTTATTTGTTTGTTTGTTTTCATCTTTAATTTTGGAGGTCAGTTATTTTAAAATAATGATTTTGAACTTTATCTATTTATTTATTTATCATTTACTTGTTTGTTTGTTTGTTTGTTTGTTTGTTTGTTTTCATCCTTAATTTTGGAGGTCACTGAAAACTCTCCTCAGCAGGTGCATTTTGATAATAATGCATTCTGAAACTTGGACTGTTTATTTCAGTAGTCTTACCATAACATAAGCCAACATTTTGTCATCCACAGGCTTAAGATCAGGCCCTGTTGTTAAAATATTGATATACACTGAAATAAATTAGATGAAGAATATGTTATGGATAATATACATATATACACAAAGATTTTAAATAAATAATTTAACAGAATGAAATGTAATATTCAAATCCCATTCTGTTGTAATACGTGTTTGTATATTGACTGCATGAAATAATTAAAAACTGAGGCAGGGTATATTATAGGATATAGCGGTCAAAGATAGGCCTACATGTATTCCCTTACCTCTCTGTCCAGGTTTATAAATAGGTTTATCAGTCTGGATAAAAACCGCTGTACCCGAATCCTCAATATCTATCACTGTTGAATTATAAAAACTGTATGTCCCTTCCTTCGGAAACTGGCAATTTCCACATACTTTAAGTGTAGCACGCCCTCGTGCATCTCGGGGGACCTGAAAAAGGAGCGAGTTCAAGTAAGAAAAAAACAGATTAGCATACCTTTATCATATCTTTCCAAAGCGTGCGTTGTTAAAAAAAAGGTTTTTCATGCTAGCCTTCAAACCCTTGCAAATGCCGTCACTGACGTTACGTCAACCTGTATGGTCAAGGGTTCCGTTCGATAAAATCGTATACGGTTTTTTCTTGTGGTTTCATCGTACGAGTCGACGAGCGTGTATGTTTACTTGCATTACGTACCGCAAGGGTGCCGTGCCATTTCTTTGACATGACCTTGGGGTCAGGTAGGAAAAAAGTTTGACAGTTGAAAAGTGAACATACACTTTTCCAGTTTCAGTACACTTCCCCCACACCCTCTGTACACCCTCTGTGCGGCTTCATTAACGAGTGATAGGCCTACGTTGTCGGTTCAGGCCCCTCACGTTATAAGAACCCAGTGGGAAGGGGAAAGAGACAAGTAACATCTTATATTAAACCATCATCATGATCACCCTAAGTCTACCGAACAATACCAGGACAAGAGCTGTGCAATATGCCATATACATTATTACTACTGAATTATCATTTTGAAAATTACCATTTTATAAAAACTGTCGAAATTTTTAGGTTGGCAAAATCGTAGAGGCTACGGTGAATCCGTGCAATCTCGTACGACCGCCACCTGCCTCCACTCTGCGCGATTAGGGATATGACCGGTTATGCCCCTATTTCACACAGACCACGAATCCCACGAATGGCCATGAATTGACAAATTTCAGGATTCGTGGTTGAATTGTAATCAGTTCGTGAAGTCCTTAACAGATTCGTATATATTCGTAGTCAGTTCTTGCACTTCTTGACCAACAGGAATTGGTGGCAAAAACTTTGATGTCCCTATTTCACACAGTTCACGAATCCCACGAATCGCCAGGAATTGAAAATTTCAGGATTCGTGGTTGAATCGTAATAAGTTCGTGAAGTCCTTAACAGATTCGTATATAATCGTAGTAGCAGTTCTTGCAATTCTTGATCAATCGGAAATTCGTGGCAAAAAATTTGAGCTGTTCAAAGTTTTGGCCACGAACTCCAGATTCCAAAAAATCGTTGTGAATTTCTGAACAACATTCGTGCGATTCCAGCCGAATCCCACGAATATTCGTAACACTATCGCACCTGTATCGTAACTGAATCGTAGAGCGTGTCGAATAAGACCAGAAAATTGGCAAAATCTCACGATTCCAGCCGAATCCCACGAATATTCGTAACACTATCGTACCTGTATCGTAACTGAATCGTGAGATTGTCGAATTAGACCAGAAAATTGGCAAAATCTCACGAATCCTTACGAATCCTGAAATTTGTCAATTCCTGGCGATTCGTGGGATTCGTGGTCTGTGTGAAATAGGGGCCTTAAAGGCACAGTTCGGATATAGCATGGCAAATGTAATTTAGTAATAAAAAAATAAGAAGCGTTTTTTTTCAAGAAAAAAAAAAGCGAAACACAGTAATTCATGGGTTGAAAATAAATATATCTATAGCTAATCCTCAAACAAATTTCATAACAATTCTTAGATTTATTTGAACTATTATCGTAGAGGGGAAATTATCGGACAAAAATAATCATGCGCAAAACAGCTCCATCGACCTACCAAATTGTGGCACTAAAAATAATCGACTTTATAATTCTTACCTGAATCCTGAGTACTCCCTTACCTGAAAGAAATAAAATGAAAATCAGATTTTAGAGAACAGAGTGCATAGTGTCAATTATAAAATAACAAGTTTATAGCATTTATTGAAAGTCTCAGGAATGTGTTGGCCCCCTACTCCCACTTGTTACGCAGATTTGCTTTGCGTTGGTAAATTCATATCTGTTTTCAATAAGCGTAGATTTTTTGTGAAAAGCGTTATTTACTACCCTGAGTTTCAAATTTGGTCTAACGTTTAAAGTCGTTTGAGAAAACGGGGAACGATCAAGCGTTTTGGTAATTCAGGTTACTATTTTCGTGCCTGCATTCAGATTTGAATTGAATGGTGGGTTACGTCGATCAGGAAGCACTCTCTTTTCCAAATTGAGTTAAAAGTACAAGTAGGTTAATCCAATCAGTAGTTCGAAAGAAAAAAGCGTTTGATTTTTTTTCTTGTTTTTCTAAAATTTATTTAAAGACAGCTTTTCAGAAGTTTCAGTAGAAACATGGACAAAATTACGATGTCATTATGTCAATGCTGCTACCGACCCCGTCACCCATAAACCTAAAATTAGTAAAACTAAAAGGAAATAGATTATCTAAATAAAAGAAATTAGTAAAATCAACGTACCCATAATTTCTTCCGAGGCTTTAGCGAGTAGTTTGCCGTCTTCTGTGTACAGTTTGGCCAGTATTTGAATAGGTTCTGTGGGCTGGAGAATGGTCACACTCACCACTTCCTCAACAGCTGGCCTGAATACACTGGGGCATGTAACCAGGTACCCGCTAACCAGGGAAATAATTGGTATAGAATTCAAATAATGTTACTTGGCAATAATGTCAGAGAAAGAATCACGAGAACTTAAATATATTACTTTTACTGAGCTCCTCTTTGAAATCGAAGATATTTAGTAGCGGCCAGTCACCCGTAGCCTACTTGAAAAATAAAGCGCAAGTATCTCTCAAAAATTGCATTTTTTTTCATTGTTACAGGAGAGACGTAAATGACTGAATTATAATTTTTTTTAGCTTCTATCGCGTTCTTTTCTAATAAACTTCTCTTTAATTTTAAGCATCGTGGTATATGCTATGAGAATTTTTCGTAGAAATTATAGGAGGCTCAAACTTGCAAAATTGATTTTCAAATAGCACACAGAGAAGTCTTTCTTTTCATATAACCCAGATATTATATTTTATTATATCTAAACATAGATAACCAGAGCCTTTAGTGTAACACCTGG